TTAAACACAAACTACATATGATTTCCTCTTTATTCATGATAACTCCTCTCCTAGCTAGATTGTCTTTTGTAGGTAATCTGTCATAGAAAGATCTCCAAGCCAACACTGCAACTTTTAAGGGCACTGATCCATTCTAGATCTACTTAAAGTGATCTAGATCATCCCTTAATCATGACTAGGTGATTTGGTTATAGGCAAATTTAGTTGAGTATCTTCCAGTGCTCTCCCATTTCCATACCTAACAGTCCTCTCGTCCTTGTTGCAAATGTACTTGACTTAGGATATCTTCCAATTCCTGCAAAAGATTAGGTTCCCAAACGAATAAAGTCCTACACCATTCCCACCCCCATTTTCCTTCACCCTCCCCACTTCTGCCTACCTTAGCTATCGTGGCCAGTTTATTAGTAGCTAAGGAATATAGTCTTGGAAACTTCTCCCTCAAGCTCACACTTCCTATCCACACATCTTCCCAAAACAACGTCTCCTTGCCTTCCCCTACCTTTCTTATAATCCCATCCTTTAACCATTCCATATTTATGCTATCTACCCTCTCCAATTTCCATAACTCTTTCCACCACACAGACCCTTTCTCATTTTGTGTACACCCTTCCCATCCCCTTTTCCTAATAGACCCATATAGCTCCAATATAACTTTTCTCCATAATGCTTCTTTCTCCCTCAAAATTCTCCATTTCCACTTTCCTAATAAGGCTCCATTGAAGCTCTCAAGATTCCTAACACCTAGCCCTCCCTTTGATTTTTTCCTACATATCACCTCTCATTTTATCCATGCTATCTTTTCGTCGCCCTTACCCCCAACCCCATCGCACAAAAAATTACGTTAAAGCTTGGTGAGTATTTTAATTACCTTTTTTGGGGCTTTATATATTGAGAAGAAAACACAGGTAAGCAGGATAGACAAGCATTAAGAAGGACAATTCTCCCACCAAACGATAATTTATTTCCCCTCTAACTGTCCAGCCTCTTCCTTATACAATCAATCACTGGGCGCCAAGTAGTGATTTTGTTATGATTTGCTCCAACAGCTACTCCCAAATATTTGAAAGGAATGCTGCCTATTAAACAATTCATAGTTGATGCAAGCTCCTTAATTGTATTCTTGTTAACATTTAAGCCATATAGCCAACTTTTATCATAGTTCACCTTGAGGTTGGAAATCAACTTGAAACACCTCATTATACATGTCATGGCCCATGCATTTTCCTCTGTTGCTTCACTAAGGAGGATGGTATCATCCGCAAATTGTAAATGAGATATGGCCAGCTCCCCATTATGTACCCGAATTGCTTTTAAAATCCAATCTCCTCAGCTTTTCTCATTAGACCACTTAAAGCCTTCGCTACAATCAAAAATAAAAATGGTGAGAGAGGGTCACCTTGCCTCTATCCTCTTCCCACTTTAAATTCTTCTGTTAGGCTACTATTAATGAGCACTGAAACTGTTGCTATTGACAAACATTCTTTTATCCAGCTTCTCCATCTTGAGCAGAATCCCATTTTGTCCAACATAAAGTCTAGGAATCCCTAATCCACATTATCGTATGCCTTTTCAAAATCAGCCTTGAAGATTAGTCTTGCCTTATTTCTCCTTTTCATATCATGTATCACTTCATTTAAAATAATAATGCCATCACTTATTTGCCTAGTCCCCACAAATGCTGACTGGTTTTTAGTGATTATGCTATTCATCACCTTCTATAATCTATTTGCCAAAAGCTTTGAAATGATTTTATACATGCACCCAATCAAAGAAATAGGGCGATAATCATTCATACCTTGCGGATTTGACTTCTTGGAAATTAATACAATGAAAGTAGCATTACAGCTTCTAACCAGCTTCCCATTTTGATGAAATTCTCTGATGAAACCACATATATCCTCTTCCAATACACTCCACATCCGTTTGATGAAATTAAAATTGAAACCGTCTGGGCCAAGACCTTTACCACCTTCGTAGCTCCACACTGCCTCTTTTTTTTTTTTTTTTCCTCCTCTTTCCGAAAAACCTATCGTTTTTGAGTCCCCATTGAGATTAAATTTTTTTTTTTTTTTTTTTGAACGGCCCACACTACCTCTTTTATTTCCTCTATTGAAAATTCTGCCATCAGCATAGCATTATCCTCATCACTCACCTTCTTGAATTCAATACCTTCCACTACCAGTCTACCCCAACTGTTTTCTTTAAATTTTTGCTTGAAAAACTCCTTTATAGCTCCCTTAACCTCTTGAACTCCTTCACCCCATCTACCATTCTGGATAATTCCGGCCAAGCTATTTTGATTTCTCCTTTTAACCACACAAGAAT